CAGAGTGAAGTGAAGAGAGAACTCATGTATCATTCTATGTATGCATGTAAGCATCTATCTATCTATCTATTATCTATCTATCTATCTATCTATTATCTATCTATCTATCTATCTATCTATCTATCTATCTATCGTGGTGCTGGGGAATGTAACCAGGGTCTTTACACTAAACTACATCCTCATTCCTTTATTATTTTTTTATTATGAGACAGCGTTTCATTAAATTGCCCAGGCTGGGCTCAAACTTGGAATCCTCCTGCTTCAGCTGCCCAGCATTCTGGAATTATAAGCACATACTGTCATGCCTGGCTGGAAATAGAACTCTCTCACTCTCTCACTCTCTCTCTCTCTTTCTCTATCTCTCTGTCTCTCTCTCCTTTCTTCCTTCTTTCTTTCCTTCCTTCCCCACCCTCCCTTCTTTCTTTTTTTCCTACAGTGCTGGGGATTGAACACAGGACTTTGCACATTTCAAGACATTTCTAAAATTTTACTTTGAGATAAGAGCTCACTAAGTTGCCCAGGTTGAGTGTGAACTTGCAGTCCTCCTGCCTGAGCCCCCCAGAGTTCTGGGATTATAGCGATGCACCACCATGCCCAGCTTGAATTGCCTTCTTTTAATATATTTCTCTAATGCTAACAGCAGCATGAAGTGACGGAATCTTTCTGGAAGGCAGATGATAGTACAATACCAGCAGATACACATACTGCTTTTATGTTAAGGCATGGGGTATACTATGTTTCCATGCATATTCATGGATCTTGCATATATATTTTGGTATATATAAATACACAAGTACACACAGTTTAATCTTCAGAACAATCTTGAGGTAAATAAGAACTATTGCTATGCTCATTTTACAGAAGCAGAAACTGAGACCCTACACTGAGAGTTTAGTAACTTGACCAAATCATACAGCCCGCAAATGGGGGAGTCAGGACTCAAACTCAGGTGCACTGGCTCCTGAGTCCATTCTAGCAACTCTATTTTTATGAATTTATCATAAAGATATAATTAAATATCCCAGCATTTATATACAGTAATGTTCTTCTTTAATGTATTATATACATAATGTATATAATGTATTATATACATAATACCCATATATTAGTAAAAGACAGTTTGCTAAAAGGAAATTGGTTACGGAAGCATGGAGTATTGATGTTGGGAGAAAGCCACACAGCAATTAATACACTTGTGGGAAGAAAATTCAGCAACTGGAAACGTTCATAGCAACTGTTAAGTGCCAAAGGCCAGACTCTGCCTGGCCAGTGAAGCCATAGTCACACATGTGACACCCAAGGATCAGGCACTCATGGATGGCTTCACCATCTACTTGAAACGTGATGCTGGCCAAGTTACTTAGCCACTCTGGTCTTTGTTTTCTCATCCATAAAAGGGGGTCATAACATGTGCCCTAAAAGTGTATGAAGCCAGGACTGCTCAAACCCACGGTGCCCACCAAGGGTAGGGCCTCCTCTCTTGGCCATCTGAGGAAAGGGAAAGGCTGGGCCTGAGGCCTATGAATCCCGTGGGGCCTTTCCCATGGCTTTGCCAGCAGCCACCTGCTCACAGAACCTTCCGTCCCACATGCCTACACCCCAGGGCCACAAGAACCCATCTAATTCACTGCTGAAGGAATGGGCCAAACAGCATCAGGGCATCTGGTTGCCCCTAAGTGGCCTCCCTGCCACTCCTGGCCCACAGCTCCTCCCTTGCGCCACGGCCTTGCATTTCACTAAACCCCCGACCTTGGCAGCAGCCCCCCAGGAGGGCAGCACAAAGATCCCCACAGGCCTGCGGTCCAGCCAGCTGCTGAGGCGGCCTAAAGCTCTTTACAAACCTGCCTGGATAGTCTTACCTCTGCTGACGTCTGTTCTGTCTTTTGACCTTGGATAAAGCCCAAAACTCCCCAGTGGTGCTGCCAGCATTCCCACACGCCGTCACGGGCGGAGTTGCCCACCACCATCCAAGGTCCAGTCTTCCCAGCCTCTAGGAAGGCGACTCTCACTTCCCAGGGCAGATCAAGCCATATCTGGGGGAATCTGGGCAGCCCACGCCTCTGACATGGGCCCCCACAGCCTTAACCTCAGTGTGGCTCCACTTGTTTGATCTTGTTCGATCTGCTTTTCTTTCTTGCTCACTGCCTCTGCATGCCTCAAGGGCAGGAACACTACCTCGGTGTCTCGGTGTACCTGTGCCCGGCACAGGCTGACAGCTGACCATGACACCCACCTCGCCACAGCACTTCCCATGGACCAGCACTACACCACAGATACAGAAGGCACTCGCAGCCCCCTCTTGAGGCCCCGAAGTGCTGGCTACTGTTGTTACTCTACTTTCTGGATGAGGAAACTGAGGCATAGAAATGTAAGATAATTTGCCTTCAGTCACAGAACTAGGAGGTGAAGAAACTGGGACCTGAATTTGAGCCACTGGGCTCCAGTGTCTGCTTTCCCAGAGTCTTCAACCTCAGCTCCAGGAGGAAGCTAAAGTCCTCTTTTCCCCAGATATGAGTGTGGCACACATGGGTACAGTCCCTGGGCACCACCAGCACTCTGAGGAGGCAGGTTGAGTGATGAAACCTAGGCTGACCTCCTAAGGCTGTGGAGCCCCAAAGCTCCTGCCAAGGACCAACCCAAGGGTCCAGTCCCTGGCACGTGAGGACCCAGGCATCGCACCTCGCCCTTGGCCTGCCACTCCTGGGAACCTCAAGGGGGAGAAGTTCCCTCATCTTTTCTCTTTTTCCTTCCGCCGTCTTCTGAGAGCACCTGTCTTGCCCACCCTTGAGGCCAACATAGAGAGCTTTACCTCACAAGGCCATTAGCTCGTGAGCACAAAGACTGAGCTAAAGGACAGGATGATGGCCAAGCCAGACAAGTACAGGATCTGTCACTGGGAACATAATAGGTACTCAGCAAACCAAGGAAGATGAGTAGATGAGTGGCCCTGGCAGTGGCCAAGGAAGGGGAAGGGGAAGACCCAGCACAGGGCCTGGGTGTGGCCAGCCTTGTAGTCCCCCAAAGGCACCTCAGGCCCCAAGGGCTCTGATGAACAGTGGGGACCCTCTCAGCAAAATCCCCACTTCCAGTGGGCTCTAGGGACAGCCCCTGCTTTAACTCTATCCTGGCTGTGCCACCTGGAATCATAACCAGTCTGCATCAGACTAAGCGCTCTGTGGCCGCCCACCCAACTGCTCTGCCCTGGAGGCCTCTGCCCTGGAGGCCTCTGCCTGCTCTGCCCTCAGGCCAAGTCTCCGGGCAAAGGCATAGCCTCTGCTCCACATCTCCCAGCATTCCACACAAGTCCAAAGAGGAGAGACGCCTCTGGCTCCAGCATTTTCTCTGGAACTCACACCCTCTCCCTTGCACACCCACTCTCTCTGCAAGGCCTGGGCAGCCAATCTAGGATCTGCATTAAGCCACTAGGCCCTGGCATTTAACTTAGCAATGAATGACCTTAGATCTGGGGTCCTGTCCCTAAATCCGTGTCCATAAGTCTCAGCTCCATGTGGTGGCAGGACTCATCTGTTAGGGACAAGTCTCCACGCTCCCTCCCGCCCAGCTGCTTTTCCAAATGACAGGAGAAACAGCTGTCCTACCCTCGTATCTTTGCTGAAAGAACAGGAGTGACTGGCTGCGAGCCTGGCATGAGACCTTGCAGTACTCCAGAATGAGCAGGGCCAGCACAGGTCAGCACAGGTTCACTGTGGGCATCGCTGTCACAGCAGCAGCGTCAGTGAGGAGCACACAGGCCCAGCCCAGAGCAGCCAAGCAGGGCAAAGCAGCTGCTGTTCATCAGCATTTTGATATACCTGAGGCCTCTGCAAAAGCAGAGTAAGTTTCCAAAGGAGGCCCTCTGAGCACCAGGCCTGGAGTCAGATTCCTGGACAGGCTCTTAATCTGCCTGTCCTCCCTATCTGTCAGTGAGCACAGTATCCTCACACTCATTTCTTCGGCCTTTGTGGGGGCTCAAATGCGGCAAGCCCATGTACAGTGCTGCACACAAGAGTAAAGGGGGCACTGTCCTTCTAACTTCCAGCACTTGGCATCCTCTTCCTAGCTACCCCTGCCTTTTTTCCCATCCTCTCTGAGCTCTGAGCTCCTCCGTCCAGGCACTGCCAGGGACAATGTGGTCCTCTGCCTGTTCCAGAAACACACTTGAGCTCTGCAGTCGGGAGTTCTCGCATCCCCAGTGTGCCGGCTGCTAAGGTCTCACCAAAAGCAGCCCAGGTTATTCCAAGAAGGCTCCTCCAGGGAAGCCGCAGAGATGTGACATCTCTGCGGCTTCCCAGACTCCATCTCTAGCTCAGAGTACCCCGAGCTCCGGAATGTCTCTCCACCAATGAGCCCCATCTGGTTCCCAAACACAAAGGCATCTCACTCCTTCTCCTGGGTCCTCCTCCTGGGTTGGTCTCCCAGAATAACACCAGGGAGTGGCTGTCTCTCACCTCACATCCTTCTCTGTCCTCCCACAGCGGAAGCTGGCCCAGGCCTCCGCTCTCCTCATATCACCTTCATCGTGCCTTTGATCTCACCGCAGTTCATCCTACCCATGGCATCCAGAGACCTCTCTAGAACGCAAGCTTGGTGCATCTCAGGATCTCCCTAAAACATGGTCTTTATGGGTCCCTCGCCAGCTCACAACCTGACAGGTCTCCAGAGGGTGCATCTTACAGCCCAGTGACTTTGTGTCCCTAGTCTGACATTCAAGGCCCGCCCTATGCAGCAACAAATCGCCTTTCTTCCTACACCCCTTTGAGGGTTCCAGGGCCTAGCTGCCCTTCTCCCCCAGTCTCTTCCAACCAGAAGCCAACCTCACGAATTCTCTCTGGGCCTCCAGACCCAGTAATAGGAGGGAGCAAGCTGAGGCTGCCTCCCGCCTGACTGGGACTCTTCCACTATTTCTCTGAAGTTTCTCCACCAAAAAGCATCCCAAATGTGGTCCCCAAGCCCAGCACTCACTCCACGCCACCTCTCCAGACCCCACAGTAATTACTCACTTTGGCACCAGGAGGACCAGGCAGGCCTGGGTTTCCATATGGTCCAGGAGGACCCTGAAGGGAGACAAAGAGAAGGTGAGAGAAAAAGCGGAGTCACCCCACTTCAGACAACAATCCCTGTCACCTTCCTCCCACCCAGTGCTGAGGGACCCTTTCCCCAGCAGCAGCATCACCTGTCCACACAATGGCAGGCATTCAGCCCACTTCTAGGAGGCCCGGGAAGCTGGCGTTGGAGGAACTTCCCCTGCACCCTGTTACCCTACTGAGTAGATGCAAGCACTGGGCATGGGTGCCACAAGTCAGTGCTACAGGACGAAGTCAGTATTCAAAGAGGTCTACAGCTGCCCCAGACCACCTAGCCGCTAAGAGCCAGAGCTGGACCTTAGCCCCGGATCTGTCAGAATGCAAGACCTTAACCCCAGACTTGACCACTTCTCCCCACTCTCTCAGCCCAGCCTCATCAACCTGTCCAGCTTCCTTGGGCTCAAGCCACACTCAGCTCTTGTTTTCCTCTAGTATGGCTGGTACCTTCTCTCCTTGTCCCCGTGACCCATGCTGTCCAAGTCACTGGGCATGTCTTGCCCATCCATCTCTTCTGGCTGAAATCAGAACCCATCCCTTGAGGCCTGGCTCAAAGGCAACCTCTTCCAGGGAGCCTTCCCAGACTCCTCAGCCTAAAGCAGTCTCTCCGTGCTTTGGACTCCAGTGGCTTTTGGTAGGAGCTGAGAGCTTATCAGGAGTAGGGCTTGGCCACTTCTAGACAAAGGCCCCAGTGTGTGATCAGAGCTTCCCATAGACTCCAGCAAACTCCAGAGACCAAGAACAACTGGTAATGCCTTGGTCAAAGTTGCACAGCAGAGTGTGCTCAAGTGAGTGGCTTCGGACCCAGTTTGTTCATGGCCCTTGAGTTTCTCAGGCCATCTCTACATCCCGAGACAGTTGGCTCCCGTCAGGTCCACTTTCCCCAGCAAGAGCCCTGGCTACAGACTTGGAGTCAATTACCAGGCAGGAACAGTCTGGGGCAGTGGGGTAGGAAGGGGCAACTGGAGGGATCCACCGGCCCCTGACACCACCATCCTCTGGATTCGGTCCTCATCGCAGGCCCACTGGGCTCCTTGGTCTAGCTGTGCATGCACTGACCTCCTCCCTGTCTGAGGCCAGCTCCCAGCTGCAGCCCGTCACATTCCAACCAAGGCACCTCCCTCTTCCTCCATGCCTGAGCAGGGACCTCCCCTCCTCTGAACACACAGGAAGCAACAGTGTCCAGCCTGCACTTGGCCTGGTGAATTTATAAGTGCCACGTGTAACTCTCTATCTAAAATTATCAGCCATCCTGCGCCCTCCACCCCACAGTCTCTTGGCACAGGGATGGAACTTGGATGGGTGAAGTCTGCAATGGTCACCAGCTTCGGTCTCCTGTAAGTGATGGCAGCCAGTGACCTCTGAAAACCATCCTATGTCCATCCTATGTCTACTCAGAGCTCAGGCTGAGTGGGGTATTGGTGGAGGGCCCCTGATGCCCAGCTCCCCCAGGACCAGCCATAGGATATGTAAGGTCAAGTGTGGATGCTCCTCAGTCATGTTCCCAGCAGCCCCAGAGAGTGCAGCTCTCGGCCTCCATCTGCACTCTGCAAGGCTGGGGCTTCCTCCTCCCTGCGCCCACTTCCCACCCTTCTCCAACCACTGCCTTGCAAAGACAAGAGGCACATAGTTGACCCAGAGCCAAGCAGACCGATTCTATAAATGTTAGAGCCTAGAAAGGCGGGGAGGGGAGGATGCAGGGATTCCCCCACATCTTTACACAGGCTGGGGGAGTGTATGGAGGTGGGAAGGGTCAGGCCACAGGCCTCTGGTGACCATAGGTAAAACCCTGCCCCTCCCTGAGCCCAGGGCCACCATCTGTGCAGAGGCAATGAGTTTGTTTAAGCAAGCATTCTATTATCTTCAGAATTTTATGATCTATGGAATTTCCAGGCTAGAAACAGGATGGTGGGGGTGGGGCGGGCACAGAGCTGAAGCAGGTCAGGAGAGCCCAGAGGAATCTCTCCATAATCCTAGGTTTCATAAATGGGGAAACTGAGGCCTGGAGGATTGCCTAAGATCACATGGCTTCCTGGTGGAAATGTTCCCAACCCCCATCTAGAAATCTCCAACTATTTTCCCACCACCAGGGTAAGGTTCTAACCATAAGATAAGACTGGTCAGTCTGCCATTGGGAGACAGAGGTTGGTTGAAGACAGAAGAATTACTGATGTACAAGTAAGAAAGTGCGCTCAAGTAACAACCTTTCAGAGCCTCAGTTGCCTGGTTTATAGCCTGGGAACCACACTGGAAGCTATCCTTTGATAGCTTAGCTGTGAATGAAGAGGACTTCGCAAAGCAGACCTGCTGAGTAGAGAGGACAGTAGAGGAAAGTCCTCCGGAGGGCTGGGAGTGGGGCAGCTTGCCCGGGCCTGGAATGCAAGGTTAAAGGATCTTGCTGGGGCGCTACAGACTGCTGGTGCCTCAGCTCTGGGGATGCACTTTCCTGGAGCCTCGGAAGCCAGGAGGAAATGTAGTTTCAGCAGCAGATTCCAGAGCCCTGGGCCCGGGAATCCCAGGGCCAGGTCTGGAGGGAGCAGGGGCTGAGTAATTGTGTAACCAGAACCAGTCTCTGGGCTCCAGCTAGAAATATGCCCCAGGCAGTTATCTCTACCAGACTCTCTGCCACCCAGGAGCTCAGCCCTTTCTGGCACAGCCATGCAGCTGCCCAGATCAGCATCACTCCCAGGAAGGCCCTGCAGAGAACAAGAAGGACACCTCATGGGTGCCACCTCCCAAACCAGGCTTCTTCTTGGACACATGCTGAAGCCCAGCTCTGGAAGATAATCCTCAGGGTCCGCCTCCACACCTCAAGCTGTAAGCATGATGCCCAGGACAGACACCCCACAAGAAGTCATTGTCATCCCAAGCCACACCTGTCCAAGGAGCACCTCCCAAACCCTACTCTACCCCCAGTGCACAAAATGGAAAATGGGTGTTGGCACCAGTCAAGGAAGGGCCTGAAGACACACCACAAACAAGGACTTTGGGGCAACAGAACCCAGGCACCAAAGAACACTTACCCGAGGCCCCCGTGGGCCAGGAGGTCCAGGTAGCCCAGGAAGGCCAGGGGGACCCTGAACAGGAAGCAAAAAGACAATGTCAGACAGTGCCAAGAGGCAGCAGAGAATACCATCAACCAGTCATTCATCAACAATCCTGCCCAAACTCTGGGCAAGGAAATCTCATGGGTATAAGTGGGGTCTCCTGAGGTCTTGTCCTGAGGAATTCAATGCTCGCTGAGGCTTTCAGGACTTTCACATGTAGCATCTGTTCTCTCCCAGTCTTTGAAGCTCTCATCTTTAATCACTCCGATAACTTACAGTGTCGCCTCCACCAGGAAGCCTTCCCTGTTCCCTCTTCCAAGTCCTTCTTTTCTCTCTGAAGACCATTCTATCATGGGAGAGTTATCTGCTCAGATACTCATCTCTCCCAGCAGATCATGGTCTCCTCAAAGGAACCAATAAAGTGTGAGTCATCTTTATCCCCGGGGCTCAGCCAAATGTTTAGTACAAGGCACCTCAGAGCTCAGCCAAGTTCTCTCCAGAGCCAGAGCAGACAAGAGACTTGGCCAAGGTCACGCCATGCATCTTTGTACCACGAACAGGCAGCATGGCACAGACAGCACAGTCGCAGGTTTTCCAGTCACCTGGGCCTGGCTCCAGGCACCTGAGTGGCCTCACACGGCCACTTAGCAGCTGGGTTCAGTCCATACGTAATTCCCCCGTCATGGCACAATTTCAAGGTGATGAGAGACAGCCAATGTCCAGCACAGTGCCTGCTGGTCACCGGCACTCATGTTCTCTGGACCCTTCACTGTGGCTCCCCGAGCACCTGCAAGTGCTCCACAGGGCTCTCCCTGCATCCGCCCTCTCCTCACCCAGCCTCGTCCTCCTTCCTCAGCAACTCCCCTGCTCAACAGCATTCAACAGCACCCCACTGCCCACAAGAGGAAGGCCTGACCCTGGTGTGGGTGCCTCAGAAGCTGGCTCCGTCTCTCCTCCCTTCACACAGGGAGCACACTGACCAAGCAGCAGGCTGACCTCTGTTCAAATCCTGAGCTGATCCCTGCGGAGCTGGGAATGTGACGGGCTCCGCAGTCCCTTCTGCCATCTGAGACTCAGATGCTCCCTCTTTAAAACAGGTCCGACAGCTACCTTCCCATCTACCCCAGAGGAGTAAATGAGGATTAACTAAGTGCCTGATGGGACGCACTGAGCCCGAAGTCTTAAAGTCTTCGAAGGAAGCCAGGCTTGCTTTCGAGGATGTGTGAGGCCTGGGGAATTCATTTGTTTCAAATACCAGTCAATGAGATTCCAGGTTTCCTGCCCAGAGTTAAAATCAGTGTTGAAAACTCAGAACGCTTTGGCTGGTAATTAATCCGGATCTCACGCTGGGCAGCCTCAGCTCGTAGAGCTGGCCTGTGAACACCACGTGCCTGCTCATCCACAAATAAAGATCACAGAGATCCAGACAGGCAGATAGGACACCGAGGCCCTGCCAGTCCCTAGGCAAGAGCCCCAGGGGATGGACAAGGAGGTGTTGCGTGACCTCGGAAAAGTCCTGGCCACTTCTGAGTTTCCAGGCAGCTATGGTCAAACTGGAAGCAGCACACAAGGACAGGGCACGGTCTCTGGTCCTGTGTCCAGCCTGTGCGGTTGGGACTGGGGCCAGTCTACCTCCCGTCCTTTGCTCCTGCTTTGGTGACAGCAGCAGACTGCAGGTAAGACAGGGGTCCTGGGCTCACACTAGACACCCCACTTACCAGCTCTGTGGTTTGCCTAGCTACTTTCAGGTTCCAAACTTTGGGTTCTCAAACTTCCATCAAATGAGGATAACGATAGCTCGTAGCTGCAGATAATCTATAAAATGTGCTAATCCTTCAGCCTGGCCCGAAATTAATGCTCAAAAAATGTTAGCTTTTTTTGTTAGGTCAGCTCCCGGAATGTCCCCACTCAGAAATTTGAGCCACCTCCCTCTGCATGTTTTGGGGAAATAGCAAAGGGTGTCCCTTCCTAGAAGGCCCTGTTTGGCTCACTTCTCACAGGGGGCCAGGAAATAATTAAATGAAAATGTTGGGGCCAAGACTACACACTGCTGTGTGTGTAAAATGCTCTTTCAATGGAAAAGAAACCTGAGAGAGGCTCAGAGAGGCACCGTGACTTGCCCAAGGGCACACAGCTAATAAAAGACAAGCCTAGCACTACGGAACCCATTCCCCATACGGAAGCTCCCATGGGAGGCTTCTCCAAGGACAAGCCAGGTACATCTCTGACTAGGTGTGTGGCCTTGAGTAAGTCCTTCTGCTCTGTGGCCCTCGGGAACATGAACACCCAGAATTTTCCCAGTACTGGCTTTTCCTGAGCTGTGGGGGCTGCAGTGGGGCTACCAGGTGGGAGAAAAATATCAGATCATCCCCGTCTCGTGGAGCAGGAGGTCAAAGCTCTGAGGGATACAGGGAGGAAAAAGGTCTTTGGGGTGTGGCTCCCTGATGGGGCCAAAGCTGCAGAGGCCTGGACACTCCCTCTTGGCATTTCTTCTGTCCTAGAAATGGGGGCATCCAGGCAGAAGTCTGAGCTCATCCACCACATCTGCAGAGCAGACTCAAGTGCCAGCCAAGACCCATGGTCTGGCCTGCTCATGTCAGCTGACTCCTTGACAGGGCAGCCCAGGTCCCCGCTGTGGGCCTGGCCCCACCAGCTGCTCAGCTCAGCCTCAGGCCTGACCTGACTCCACTCACTGATCCCTTTGTTGGTGGTGGCAAGGGTGGGTACCCCATGCCCCCTCCTCTGGTCGGAGACCCTGTCTGTTCTGCAGTGGAAAAATGCTGCCGTTTCTTTCCAGGGCCTGAAGTCGGAGCGGGTGACTCCGGGATGATTCACGGGGCCAGGGTGGGATTTTCCACTCCATGCTGCAAACAACGGGGCCTCTGAGAGGGCCCAGAGCTGAGGGGCGGGAGCCAGGGAGCAGGCCCATTCTGGGGGAGGCCACGGAGGCTGGGGCTTGGGGCACATGCAAACACAGCCATGGAAATGACCTAGCTGCCACTCCAAGCTTCCCCCGAGGTCCTGGCCTCTCTTGGCCAGACCAGGGGGATCGTATCCCACAGAACAAGTCCATCCTTGCACCCAATGTAGCAGCCCACCTGCCAGGCCTTGCAAGAGGAAGGCAGCTCTGGCTGGCATCTCCCTGGCAGTCAGTACTCAGGAGATGTTTTACAGGCCTGGCACCTTAGAGGCTGGAGGCGTGGCTGGGACACGCTACTTATGGCCATGTGACCCTAAGCAATGACCTCTGGGCCTCTGCTCAGTTCCTGTAACCTGAAGGGGTTGGGGAGGCATTACAAAAGGCCCTCCCGTCCCTATCTGAGCTCAGCATAATTCCAAGCACACCCGATAGGGTGCTGAGCATTTCAGTCTCTGTCCTAGTAAAGAAACTGCTGGACAGAGCTCCTCCATAGGAATCCAGCTCTAACTGGCCCTAAGCAAGTTACTGTATGTTCCTGTGTCTCTGGGCCTCAGTTTGTCCAGCTGTGAAATGGGACTATCACACCCATCTGAGATGATACACATGTGTGCACACTGCTTATTCTCTCTTTGTCTTAGATCCATTCTGGGCCCTGGGAACTGGTGACCTGAGCACACCACTACCCCCGGAAATTTCTTGTCCTCGGGGTTGGCTTTGGTGGGGGAGGGGAACAGAGATCTCAGCAAGAAAAGGTGGCAGATAAGGAAGCACAGAATTTTCTCCTCTACCTTCCCTGCTGTGCTTCCAAGCACAGAATTTTCTCCTCTACCTTCCCTGCTGTGCTTCGCAGGACCCCATTTGCTGCTGGAGATCCCAACTCAAGGTTTTAGCCCTTGCTGGGCTCTGGTAACACCATTTTTGACCCTGGAGCCTTCCAGGGCGGGTGTAAGAACCATTTGTTTCCAGACTCCTGTGCTTCCCCCGGCCCCTGCTGGGTCCTCTGATGCCACTGCACCCCTGTCCATGGTTCTGGTGGCCATGACCCTGCCTGGAGCCATGGTCCCAGCATGCAAACTGCTTGGCACAAAGCCGGGCTCCACAGGGGCCTTGTTCTCCACGGTCTGTGTAATGTTGGTTTCAGGATCCAGCCCCAGTTTCTAACCAACCAAACCAGGAGGGCCCTGGAGATACCAAAAGGCCCACCTTGGGCCAGGCTGTGAGCTAGGGCTCCCAGGCAGCACGAAAATGAAGACAGTCTGGAAGCTCACAGAGCAGCCCTCAGTGCAACAGCAGGAAGTGGGGACAGTCCCACCCCGAGCCCCTCATCCCTAGCTGGCCTGAAGCTGGACAATGCTCTCGTTCTTCTGTCTCCCAGTTCTCCCTGCTCTCCCAAGCCCACCTAGTCACAGCCACAGAAAGTCACAAGGACCCAGGCCCAGTGCCAGGTGTGATACAGGCTCACCTCACTGAAAGCACACAACTTGAGAAAGGTAGATCATACCCTACCTCACAGCGGCAGAAACTGAGCTTCAGAGAGGTTAAGTGACTTGCACAGGGGACCAGGCCCCTGAAAGGCACACCATCGACATTATTGTGAAGAATGAACACAAGCTAGGCATGGTAGCACACATCTGTAATCCCAGCACTCACTTCTGGAAGCTAAGGCAGGAAGACCTTGCCTGAAGAATTTCGCAATTTCTCTCAAAATAAAAGAGAAGGAAAAAAAAGGATGGCAGTGTAGCTCAGTGGAAACAGCCTGGGTTCAAACTCCAGCCTTGGGGGAGAAAATGAATGAATGACTGCATGAGGGAACGATTCCAAATCCGAAGCTCTCACGCTTTGCAGTCCATGCGGCTGTGGGCCAAACCTCCAGCCCAGTCTCCTGAGGTGGCTCCTGAAAGAAGCACTATGGCATGTAGATGCTGCCGTGATGGTGATGGTGACGGTAATGGTGTCAGTGACAATGTCGGTGACGGAGGTCCAGACCTCCTCTGGTGCGCAGCTTCCACGCAGCTTCTGTGCAGTGCCCTCCCTGCCCCGCTCGCCAGCTCAGTTCAGCTTTCCCAGAGCTCCTCTCCTGCAGCTCCAGCCCCGATTTGGTGCCAGCCTCTGCCAGGCAGCTTCAAGCCCCCTCCCCTGAGTACCATGGGCAAGGCAGCCTCCGCAGATACTGTTTTTATGTTACACAGGGGAGATGGCCCTCCGGTCACTTCCCAAAACACAATCGAAATTACTTTGGTTTTTTATTTTCTTCTTTTGGTTTTTTTTGAGACAGGGTTTCAAAATGAAGCTCAAGCCAACCTTAAACTCACTTGAATTTGCAGCAGTCCTCCAGTCAAAGGACTCCCAAATGCTGGGATTACAGGCTGTACCACCATGCTCGACTAAAGCGGCTCCTAAACCTGATGGGTGGGGAAGCAGAAGTCTTTCTGGACAGGAAACTTCCTCTGAGGCCCAGGATACGGTGTGGCTCACCTCTGAAGCCCCCACCTCGCTGTGCCACAGCACCCTGAGTGGACACGCGGCAGGGAGAGAAGAAGGTGCCCGAGTATGAATTTCAACCCTGTCTCCTGTGTGCTGCAGTCTCAGGCAAGTCCTGGCCTTCTCTGGGCACAGTCGCTTATCTCTTTCCCTGCCCAAGAAGAAGAGTCAAACTGAATGACCCCTAAACATCTATCTGCTGACCAGGGGGACTCTAGCCTTCTTAGATGATGGGGAGGCTAAAGGAGAGGAGTCAGCCTCACACACAGCTCCCCACTTCAGGGAGGACACGGTTCAAGCAGATGACATGTCCAAAGGCAGCTTCTGCACCCTAAAAGCTGCCCCTGCATCCTCTTCAGGGATGTGCCTTCCCTGCCCCCTACACCTCAGATGGGTTGGAAGGGAGAGCTGGCCCCTCCACTCAGCTGCAACCCCCTTCTGACCTCAGAGTCAGCATACCCGGTGCACACAGCTAAGGAAGTGGAGTTGCTGGGGCCAGAGATGGGAAAAGGGGAAAGGTTCCCGGACCTCTCAGCAAAACAGTTACCCCCACCGCTCTGCGGTTCTCCACACTGCCAATTCCATAATGCAGGACCCACGCAGAACACTGACATAACTGCAGAGCAATGCATACCATTTCCATAAGATCTACAATATGGTTATAATAAACACGGCCCCTTGGTCCCCTTGGAGACAGGCTGAATAAATATTATTCCTAATGATTATTAAAACTCATTAAGTGTGTTTGGAAGGCCCGGGAATTCCCAGCATCTGCCACTGTGTCCACATTTCGAGGAGCCCTAACCTCAAACCCAGAGCCCAGTAGGACACCCGGGCCCAGGAAGGAGGGGGCAGCCACCGCAGCGTGGTCATCTCCAAGGAAGAACAGCAGAGGCGCGGGCATGCACAAACTCCATCCCAGCCTTCCCCGCCCAAAGGAATTGACCTCCAGCTGTGGGAAGGTCGTTGCCCGGGAGACCCTGAGACCATCTCCTGCACATGGAATGTTCTTCCTCTTTCCCTTCCCTGTTGCGCCAGCCCACGCTGACCTTCCTGATCCCCAACTCCTCTACCAGAGGCCACAAATCAAATGCACATAGGTGCCAGCCAGGCAGGTAACAAACGCGTGGCAGGCCAGGCTGCTAAGATTGAAGCTGCCGACGTAAGGCTCATGGTAATAGGAGTGCTTGTCCTGTCATAAGTGACCATCCGAGGGCCACCACTTCTCCCACCTTCCAAGAGAAGCTGGTTGCTGAGACTTTTCTAAGAACGCTCACATTTTTCGACTGTTAGTAACTTAGGAGATTTTCAAAAGAAGAATGTTATATGTGCCAAACAAAACACACCCAGGGCTACTTGTATGTGATATTTGTCCCCAGCTCCCAGACAAGCTGCTGGGCCAGCAGGTCCTACTCAGTGTAAGGAGTAAGGGGCTGGGCTTTGGAGGCTCCTGGGCTGTTCCCTGAGCATAACCTGAGCCAAGTCAGCTAATGGCTTTCCTGAAGCCACTCAACCTTCGCAGCTGGGCTGGCATATCATAACCTTGGGCCTGGGCCAACTGAAGCACAAAGGTGCTCCTTCTTGGACGGGACTACACCAGACCCGAGCCCGTCCCAGCAGATCATGAGGGTGGAGCAGGGTATCCAAGGAAGGGGTGGCAGACCAAAAGAGTCCCGTGACCAGCTCCCTGATCCAGGCCACTCCTTTCCCCTGCCCTTACCAGGAGCGGCCACTGGCCCAAACTGCCTCACTGCCACCCACTGTCACCTATCACCACCCAAACAGCATGCAAACTCCACCCAGTCTTACCGGCAGGCCACAGTCGCCCTTGGGCCCTGGAGGCCCCATCAGCAGGGCAAAAGGTGTGGGTTCCATCAGGTGGAAGGAGTAGCTGCCGCTCGTGGGCCGGGGTTTGGAGGACAAGACTCGTGCTGGAGCTAACACCATGGCTGGGGTGGTGTGCTGACCATCTGGGGACTGTCCAGGGCTGGACCTGGTTATCTGGTCATTCAAGGGAGCATCCCCAATGGCCTTCCCAGGTTTGATGGATTCGGGCTTCCAGGTGCTGCTTTTCTGGGGCTGCTTCTTTAAAGTTTCTGATCCAGTGGGTTTCTTGTTTCCAGTAGGGACAGAACCAGGAGCCAGAGTAGGAGGTGCTGTTCTGGGAGCCCCAGAGCCCAAGGCTGAAGCCACCACTGGGGCTGATGGCCGAGCAGCTCTGGTGGAGCCAGAACGGGAAGCGGAACTGGCAGAAGACAAGGGCGAAACTGCAGGTCGGGGAGGTTTGTAGGTGGTGGTGTGGGTCAAGGCCAGCTTGGTGGCCTGGCTGGTGAGCCTGGACTCAACCTGGGCTACTGTGGGCAAGGACTTTGAGGAGCCAGCCATGGGAGGCCGGGCACTGAGTGGCAGAAGTCGGGGTGTCACAGGGTTCCGCTGGACAGGCTTTGCTGTGGGATCGGAGGCCTTGGCAGGAGCTGGGTGAGGAGTGGGTGGCAAAGGCTTCTGGGTGGGTGGGGCCGACTTTGTGAATGAATGGGGAGCTGTTTTCTGGGTCAGATGGGAGCTTCTCACAGGGGTGATGGAAGGAGAAGGGGCCAGAGGCTTGGTGGGGAGATTCTTAGGAACCTTGGTGGCTGTGACCTTCTGCAGGGATTGGGCAGCTACAGGGTGAGCCGTGGTAGGGCTGGCAGGAAAGGCTGGGTACAAGGAAGAACGTGATTTACTGGCTGACAGTTTGGTAGGTGGCGGTGTAGTTGAGGCTGGGCCTCTCCCTGCTGCATGCTGGTGAGGGTCTGGAGGGTTTGTCCTCAGGGGCTTAGTGGGCATGGTCACCACAGGTCCCCTGCCTGCTGACCGTGTCCCCAGGGCCGGTGTGGCAGTGGTCAAGTTCTCCAGACCTGGCAGGTCCAGGTCACTCTGGAGGGCAAAAGGCCTGCCAGCATCTAGGGGAAAGAGGGGTCCCAGCTGGAGCCGATACATGTCAGTCTGTCCACACTGCTTCCTCAGGTGGGCACAGTAATTAGAAACAACCTGCGTCACAGGGAGGACACTGAACTGACAGAGGGCACCTTCAAACTGGACAGCGTGCAGGCTCATCTTCCCAAAAAGGAAGGAGCCCTGGGGGTCAAATGTGGAGTCCCTGTGGAAAGGCAGCGAGACAGGTACGCGGCGCTGCCCACAGGCTGTCACTAGGGTGACGGTGCGGCTGCGGAGCTCGAGCGCCAGGTGGTGCCAGCGCCCATCGTGCACATCAAGGTCGAAGGCCACAGAGTGTCGGGGCCCCAGGTGGACAACTGTCCTGCCGGGAAGGAACTGCAGGCCCAGCTGCAGCCTGTGCTTTCGGCTTCGGACAGCGAAGAGGAAGGCATGGTTGACTCGGTGGGAGCAGAGGCTCAGTACCAGCGCCAGCTCTGTGCCGAGGGCGGTGGGAATGACAGTGGCCGTGGGGGCCTGCAGCCGGGCCCGCTGCGTGAAAATGAAGCCCAGCGGAAAAGGAATGATTCCTGGGGGTGCAGGGCTCTGGCCACCCCCTGCCTTCGTCCAGCTGAGGCCCAGCTGCTGGAGGACGTCCACATCTAGGAGGGAGGGGAAGAGGAGAGGACAGTCAGGGCCCCCAGGTGCATGACTGGTGCTCCTGGTTACTGGTTCACTCAGGTGATCCTAACACTGCCTCAAGGACTGCTGACAGTGTCACATCGGTGCCATCCAGCATGCACTGCAGCCTCTTGTCTGGCTACTCAGTCTTGCATATCATGGCTAAGAATTTCCTGGGGTCATATCCCAGCTCTGCCACTTCCTAACCCTGTGACTCAGAGTTTCAGTTTCCCATCCATTAACCGGGATGACAACAGGACCAACCTCAGAGGGATGCATGGTGAGGAAATGAGTGAATTCCCTCTTTAAAAGCCTCTGGCACACAAAAAAAAGCGCCTTTTCAAGTAGTAACTACTGACACCTAAAGCAATGAAAACCCCCAAATACTAGTGCCGGAGCATCCGAGGCTGCCCAATGGTGACCTGATTTACTCCTTTTCTCTTCTTCCAGGGCATAGTCACCTAAATAGGGGACTATTCCCAGCGAGATGGGAATGGGTGTCACCAGAGCTTGGGGCTCACTGGTCTCAGCACCTCCCCAGAAACCTGCCCAGTTCCCTTCCCACCTGAGGTCTTGGCTTGGAGCAGGCTAACGAGTTGCAATCTGCTACCGGGAGGGAGGTGACACTTCTCCTGACTCTTCCCCTGCCATGTGGCTTTGGGAAGAATACAGGAAGTAATCCCTGTCCTTTGGCAAAGCATGTGGGCGTCTGACCATGGTCTAGCCAGGTCATATCCGCCCGCTAATTACGTTGGCGGGGCTTTCAAGAGCAAAAGAAGGGTTTCCAGAGTGTTTATGGAAAGGCCTCCTGACCTTGCCTCTCCCGGGTCACTTGATCTCCTTCAGCTGGTGGAGCTGCCAGGGTCTGCGGAAGCTGTTCTGGCTCCCAGACTCAAGCTCTGCAGGGAGGCAGAGGCTGCTACCGGAACGTCAGTGTGGGTCAGGGCCTCAGAACCCCTGTGCTCAGTGCTCGCTGCCTAGTCGCTAGGTGCAAGGGCCATGCTGGAGTCTGAACACAGCAGTTGGCACTTGCTGCCTTCAGGTGACAACTGTGAGATCAATGGATGGATGGAGGGAAGGAGGGAGGGATGGATGGGTAAAGTACATGGATGGGCAAATAGACAAAGGATAGATGAATGGATGGCCAGGCTACCATCCATTCAGGGGAAACTGAAGCCCTGTATGTTGCCAACATGGCCTAATGGTTCCATATCAGGATCTATGGTTGAGAGCCTGACCTGTGAGCCCGGACCCTGAGCCTGAGTGTCTTCCACCCACACAATAAAATGGGGCGATGAAGAGTGCCTACATCCTAGGGCTGGAAGGAAGAAATGATTGTCCTCCTCACTGTCCTCATGCAAGATCTGCATCAGGTAAGTCTGCACCCGACTCTCCTCCAGGCTCTTGGACCTCAGTTTCCCTGCCTGCAAGGCAAGGGAGCGGGGCCAGTCCCGGAGAGGTGTTAGCAGTTTAGAAGGACACTGTAGCGCCCAGCTTTGGTGTCAATCACTGCTGGCTGGCTTGCGGGTAAGACCCGGCTCTTCCCTAGGGCCCATGGGCTTTTCATGCCACTTCCGGCTTCTCCTCCCCATTCTTTCTGCTACCTCTGCCTACTCCTAGGTTCTAAGTTAAAATAAATCACTGATTATGGATTCCCTTAGTAATAATAGATTTAACATGTTTTAATCACTGAAACCCTCTTATTATCCTGAAATGCTATGCACTATAAACAAGAGAAAATGGGAGAAGCCCCTTGGTTGGAGAAGAGGTGGAGGCTGCTCCATTTCCCTTCATCCCACCTTGCCAGCCCTGAGGGCCCTCAGGTCCATGGACACCACAGCTGGCCAGGAATGGGATCCCCCATCATCCTTTGTAGCACCTCTCAAAGCTAAAGGCCAGCCAGTTTCCAGGGACCCCCAAAGACCATCTGCAACGAAGGGGGCCAAGCTCCAAACTCCAACACCTGGAGCTGGTGTGAGCCACTGACCCCCAGGGCCTGCAGGGAGAGGAATGGACTAGAGTTGTCCAAACTGTGTAAGTCAATAAAGTGATTAGTAACAAGAATAAAAATAAACACTGCTTTGCATGCCTTTTTCTCCTCAACCCTCTCAGCAATCTATGAGGCAGGAACTCTATTATCACACCCTACACATCAGTTAGATACAATAATGTGATCAAGACCATGCAGCTTATAAAAGGCACAGCTGGGCCTGGAACCCAGGGGCCCTAACTCCTAGATCTGTTTTTAGACACTGCGATACTGCTCTGGAGCCGCCCAGATTCACTGGAAGGCAGAGTGGAGACACTTCCAGAATCCCGCTGCAGGGAAGAGATGGGGGACAGGGAATGAATGCAGCCCAGAGCCAGGACGGAAGGGCCCAGCCAGCTGGCCCCAGCAAGATCCCTTTATTACATAAACCTGGCTTTGCACAGATGGGCCCTCCCCTGCCCCCTCTGCCTGACTCAGGACTCTGGACAGCTGTTCACCTACTTTGTGAGGGAAACAGCAAACTCGGAAAATATGACATTTGCCCAAAATGTTGTTGGGCAGCAGAAGTCTCTTCCGGGCACAGCCCTCCCCTCCCAGGGGCCCAATCCCTGCCCGGTGGCCAGGTCAGGCCACGGGGACTCCCGGAGTGCTGCCTGCCCCAGAACATGGCAGGCGTGGAGGGGAGGAGAAAGACGGCTATTTTAGGAGTCATTGTGGCCGCTTGACAAGCAGATGTGGGAGAGGCTTCGATTTCTATGGGCAGCTGTACAACCAGCTCACAGCTGCCCTGGCCCCCAGGGTGGCTCCTTGAGGACAGGCGGGAAAATCAGGCTATCATGGGAAGGAACGGGGTGGGGGGTTTCCAGGCCTGGCCAAGGTCAGAGTCTCCTCTGTACAGTTCTTAAGGTACCCACTGAGAGTGCCCCTCGAACAAACAGAAACAACTGATCTTGTAACCTTACTGTGCTGTGTCCCAATAGGAACGTAAGGACAGCCTTTGTCCATTTCTGCCTCAGCCCTTCCTACCCCGCACAAAGCTCTATGCCCAAAGGGAATATGCCAGTGACCAGCTCCATTCCCCTCATGGGCAAACAGACTGAGCTGCAGCGACCCCGGATGTCTGCTGCTCCAGTGAGGTCTTGGGCTCCTTCCGCCCTCCTTTGTCCCCCCTGGACAAAGAGAAGAGAGAGTTACCTTTAGGAGCTCCTTGGGTGGAGGCCAGGTGACAGGCGAATGAGACTAAGATCCAGGCGAAGAGAAACCCCCTAGAGACAGGCAGACACAAGCACACATGGCATCAGCTTCCATCCCTTGAGCCCAGATCCGGCTGTGGGAGCTGTAGTGACGGCCCAGCCCAGGCTCGCCCCACTCTCGCCCACAGGGAAGCAGTAGGTGGGAGGCAAGGTGCAGCCTCCAGGAGCCCCTCTGAGCCGCCCCGCTCTCAAGATGCCCCCAGGCCTCCAGGCACAGCTCTGGACTGGGACCTGTATGCATGGTAACAGGATGACACCATGCTTCACAGATGGCTAAGCCAAGGTCACAGGACAGGAAGCTGCAGCCAGAAAGTCCTGTACTGCTGTTATGGTCCAGGGTCCAGTTCAAAATCTGGTGAGTCCTACCCTGGCAGGCCTCAGCCTTACCCACCTGCAGTATGACCTTGTGGTCCTGGGTCCCTTCCCAAGGATCCAGCCAATGAGCTACAGGAGTCCAACAGTCAAAGAAGACCCCCTACCCAAAGCCTGCACTGTGCCACAGCAACTACCCACCTGCTTAATGCTGATGGAAATGGAAGGAAAAAAAAGAAGGGAGACCCTTGGGAGCAGGGAAGCCCCAGGTTGAAACCCGGCCCTGAGCTTCCAGTTATGTGACCAGAGTGAGTTACTCAACCTCCCTGAGCCAGTCCATCCTCTACAGGCCCAAGACGAAATCAGCTCATGCAAGTTAAGGGCTTGGCCAGCCGCCACCCACAGAAGTGCTCCCTAGACAGTCACTCTGGGGCTAGGAAGGGTTAAGGCTCTGCTCAGTGGCTCCTGCCAAGATGGTCAGAGGCAAGGATCTGATTTCACCTTCCTGTGGCAGTAGCCACCGGCGACACCCGAATCCACCCAGGGCATCTGATCCCCAGGCGGGCAGAGGGGAGGGCGGCACGTGTCCAGAGATGGCTGGGACACAGGCAGGGAGAACTGTGCCAGGTGGGTGGTGCAGACAGCGAGGCTGTCCCCAGCGCTGGGCTGGCTCACTGCTGGGGACTCATGTAATCCAGGAAACCCAGGTTTGATGTCTGGAGCCTCGGGGTTCTTGCCAGGCTCCCTGAGTGCCTTGAAAAAGCTTAAGCTGTTACCTTCCCCTTCTTCCAAAAGTAACAGCAGTTAGAATCAATAGCCTGGTGTCTTGGGTGCTGGGGAAGACCCTGGCGTTCACCTGCCACAGCCAGCCTTCCCTCCTGTATGCTCCTGTATGCATGGGCTCAGAGGACACCAGATGAAGTCTAAGCCAATTCTAGGAATCGCATTTGCCATGCCAGTGACTGGTTTAGGGATACACTGGTGACCCAAATGTGACCACAGTGATGTGAGTGATGCCTGTCAGTGAGGGGGAAGTGTTCCATAGTAACAGAGAGGAAGTTTTTCCCTTGCCTCTGAATTGTTAAGTGAGAACATACTGCTTGGAGCTGCTGCAGCTATTCTGTACATATGGGGTAACAAATACACGAGGATAGCAGAATGGAAAAAGAATAGGTGTTTAATGACACTGCTGAGATGCTGAACCAATCACCTTAGTGCTGCTCTTTCTTGGGGCCTCTTATTATGCGAAGTCCTCTTACACTGTCTAAAGCACATGGCCCTGTAAGTTCTGTTCCTAGGAGGATAAAGTAATAACTGAAAAGGTCCTCAGGTGCTACTGATGGCCCCTCAAAAGCCTTCTCTAGGAACTGGGCCTTTGCACATACTACTCCATCATCTGGACAGGACTCTGCCCAGTCAGTTCCTATGTGGCCATCCTGCCCAGCTCTGCTCCACTGTGTATCACTGCTGTGATCACTATTTCCCTTTCTAGACAAAGCCCTCCAAAGACAAAGATATATTCCTGTTTACTCTTATAATCTCAGTATAATCTCAGTATTGTATATGGAAGATACACAATACACACCAAATAGATTGGGGGAGGGTCTTTCTGAAACAGGGTCTCACTATGCAGTTCAAGCTGGCCTTGAACTCACTTTGTTGTCCAGGTTGTTCTTGAATTCACAGCAATCCTCCTGCATCAGCGTTCCAAGTACTAGGATCATAGACACACCACCACACCTGGTACCCAACAGATTTTTGCAAGGTGAATATTATCTGATGCTACAGGACACTCTAAAATTGCCCCCAAAGCCTTCTTCCCAGGTACAATACCTCTGCCCCCCCCCCCAAAAATAACCTCTCAGCCCCTCATCTCTCCAACCTGAGCCAGGCCTTCAACTCTCTCCAAACCACTAAAGGTCAGACAGCCATCAGCCCCAGGGATGCCTGGCGTGAAGGCGGAGCTGACCCCTCTGCATGACCTGCCTGTGGGAAGCTGAGGCTGCTCCCGTGGGCTGCGCAGAAATAACGGGCAGCTTTGTTTAGCAACTTGACAAACAGAAAACTGAGGCCCAGGGGGCAGGGTCTCCCTCAAGGTGGCCCTGGGCATCGTCCTTCAGCCCCGTTCCCTACATGGCGATGCCCAGGAGACTGACCAGGAATAGCAGACCCTCACCCCCACTTTTGACCTTGCTTATTCCCGTCAGCTTGCTTCAGTTCCTTATTTGTGCAGAAACATAACAGGACTGGCACACTATCCTCTCTTTTTCCTGACGGTCCTAAGTACCAAAAAGACATTAATTCATGTAGTTTGGGGGATTTTTGTTTAATAGTTTATGGATGGCAATGGAATATTTTTTTACTCCTTTCTTGGAAAAATGGAATGCAACTATTTTCTGATATATAAAGTTCTCCAGTCTTATAAATAAATCATTCTAGTTATCACTTGATAACTCCAAACTTCTCAAAAGCTCTGAGAAGTCCTGCAAGGAAGAAATCAGCTATCCTTCCTGTCCATCAGCAGTCCCCAAATCTAGAGGACTAGGGACTCATTTTTCCTGAGATCACCTCCTCAGAAGGCACTGCCGCCACCCTCCCCCATTCCTCCAGAGCCATCAGTTCCCAGCACAGCCCTCAGCCCTGGAGTCCACACCTACCCTGTTCAGGATGCTTCCCAGGTAAGAAAGACAGGGCAAATGAACCATGAATGCTTTCGTGGTCAAAGCAGCAATCAGAGAAAAGTATTTCAAGTTCCCAAAGGTCAGGGCAGGAAGATGCAGAGGTGGAATCTAATCTTGTCTTCAGGGTAGCTTCCAGACACCACAGCTTCTAGCCTGACAATTTCAGCCCCAACTCCCTGTTACCAACAGATGCGCCACCCCTACTCATTCACCTCCACAAACACAACTGACCTTCGTAGAGCAGGATTCTGGGTGCGTCTGACCCTCAAACTGCCCAAGAACAGAGCCAGGGCCCGGATTATTTTCCCACCATTTCTTTGGAGAAATAGACCACTGAGGTCCACCCAGAGAAAGTGGCCTGTACAAAGAATGGGAGACTTGTGGGCTCTTCCTACTTGCTCAGCACAAGTCCCAGCTTTCCCCAGCAGGAATAGAGATGTCGGCCCGGGAGCCAGGGAACCATCTAAGTCAGCTCCAGGCCTGGAAAGTTGGCTCCTGGAGGGAGCCCTGCCTCTTCTTTCCTCTCGTTCCAATCCTGTTTAGGCTACTGCTAGTAATGTTTAGTGCCTGCGCTGGCTCAGGCTTTGTTCTGCTAATGTCTGTTTCACCACTGCCTCTTGGGCTTTGGCTGCATGAACCCAGGGCTCCAGAAGGAAGGAAGGGAAGACCAGGTCGGAAAGACCAGCGCACAGGGCCAGGGAGGGTAGAAGGCGGCTGAAATGGAAATCACAAGCGAGGGAACTTTGGAGACACACCCCTCCAAGATGGGGAGCCAGGCATTCTTGTTCCCTGCAAAAGGCCCCTTGCCAGCACATCCAATGTGACATTTGCTGTTTGGATGGTTTCTCTCCTACCCTTACCACCTGGAAACATACGTGTGTGCATGCATAAGCTCACACGTGTGTGCACACATACACACAATGCAAGGACCTGAAACAATCTGAACAGTCAGAGAGCACAGAGTCCAAATCCATTAGGAAGCCAGCGCTGGCACATACTTGGCTTCTCTCCCAGTGGGTGAGCTGAGATGGGGCCGGGTGGGAGTCACAAAGAGGTGGACCTATCCCGCCTACCTCTGTGGCCAGCCAGACCCCATCTGGGCCAGTGACCATACCCAGATCTTTCTTTACACCTTATACCTCCTCCACTGGACAGGGACAGGGACAGAGACAGGTCATCTGTCTGGGCAGGATGCAGTCCATTGACTCAGACACCCATAAGTAATACAAATAACAGCTGCTGTTTATTGAACACTTTCTACATGGCAGGTACTGGTCAAAGCCCTTTGCAAGAATGCTCTGAGAGTGAGCCCTCAGGAAACCCTGTTAGCCGGGCACAGACATGCCCATTTTGTGGATGACAAAAAGAACCAGAGAGGCGAGATGCCTGCCCAAGTTCCTCCTCATCGCATGCTTGTGTTGGCCTGGCTGCAAAGGTCTCGTTCTCTCTGCCTGAAGCCTCCTTCACCCTGATGGGAGCCCACAAGCCTGCCATCCTCTACTACCAACTGATGGGCACTTCTGTGTGCCAGGGCAGGCCATGAGGTGTCAAGAGGGTCCCTGGAATCAGAGGGACACAGGGATCAGAGAGAATCTGCCAACAAAACAACAGGGGAGTTTGCTCAGGAAGCAGCCAGTGACATTTCCAGGAGAGGCCCCTTCCAATCCACCCACATGGGGTGAGAGAGCACAAAAGAGGGAAACTTTCTGGGCACAGGGAAGGCAGGAAAGGCCAGCAGGGGCCAGAGGGCCTAGAGAAAAGGTCTCAGGGCAAAGCTGCAAGGCAAGCCAGAGCCAGAGGCACAGCATCTGGGCAATACAAGGTCAAGGAGGCAGGAGAAGACAGACTGCACCTCCAGGCAGCGTGACTGCCCACTTGCCCAAAGCTAGAGCCCCACATCGGGGTGCCTGCTTGGCTCCCTTCCTCAGCCCAACCGCTGGCATCTGCCCTGGCACAGGGTCTTTTGGAGAAAGTGAGTCAGCACTGTGCTCGCTGGTGTGCGAAGGGAGTGGTGGTGGGGTGGGGGAGACCTCAACCAGCGAGCTTTTTCCAAGACATGGGGAAGGGGGGCATCATCCCCCCATTCCAGCTCAGAGGGGGTAGGGCGCAGTGAGGGAGGTGGAGCTGCGGCCCTGACCAGCCTCTGAGGAGAGCCCTGGAGTCCCCACAGATTGGAAAGATGGCAAAGACAGAAAGTTCTGCAGGAGCCTCAGTCTGCCAAGCTCGGGGGCGGGGGTGGTGGTGCTCCCCTCCTGGCTCTGTCCCACGCACACCCACGCGCAGTGGCCGGTTCTCCCGCACTCTCTTGTCTCCCAAATTGTGCACCGGCCGGGATTCCCAGCCTGGGCGCCAGATCCACGCTGAGAGAGGGAGATTCCCCGGCCCTCTCCGTTACCCCCCCACGCCCCCCCCCCACCCCCGCCTATTTGAAAGACCAGAGGCCGGACTCTGGACTCTCCAGGGCCTGTCTGCTCTGACATACTGCTTTCTGGCTCCTCTCACTTCCCGGGAAAAGCTGGGAAACACCAACACACTCAGACCCAGGCAGAGCACACGGGCAGAGATTTCCAAAAATGTGGGACTTGCTGAGCCACACAGACACTGAGCCAGGAGCAAAACTTCGGTCTTGGAGACCTAGAAATTTGCGCACAGACTCAAAAGAACAGATGGAACCGGAGAATACTGAATAGGGACATGCAGACACCGAAACACTGCGAGACAGCTCCACACTCGGAAACCCCCCTTCCCCCAGGCATCCCAAAGCTCCTCTCCATGCGGACACTCGGCTGGGGCGAGGGGAACCTGCCCCTACTCGAGCCCGGGGCTGGCTGGGCACCGACCCTTCCAAGGGGTCCCGGCAGGTCAGCCCCGCGCGGCGCTGCGCGGTGCAGCAAGGCGGGCAGCGCTCGCCAACCTTGGCCCCACTGGGGGCGCAGCCCGGGTTAACCCTTGGCATCCCGCCTCGTGGGGGCACCGGAAGGGACAGGAAGCGGACGCTACTCTGGAGCCCCAGCCCTCTGCAGATGGGAGCCGCTGTTAGCTGGGGAGGGAGCGTCCCGGAGCTCTTACTCACCCCCCGCGTGCCGCCGCCTCCGCCGCCGCTGTGCCTCGGGCCCCCCGCGCCGATCCCGCTCCCATGGCAGGCCCCTACTTCATGCTCCCGAGCCCGGGGGGCAAGTGTGGGCGCGCCCCATGGGGCCGCCAGCCCCCCGCCCCGCCGCGCCAGGCCGGCTCAGAGCGCGAGGCCCCCGCGCCCCCCGCGCAGCCACGCGCCCAGAGGCGCCCCAGCGGGCGGGCAACGCAGCCGGGAACCCTCGGGCGCCCGCGCCAGGCCCATGATCCCAGGAGTCCGGGAGCCGCGCTCGCCCCTGCCTCGCTCTCTTTCTGCTTCCAACGAAAAGGAAAAAGCAAGAAAAAAAGAGATGATCAAACTTTGGAGGCGGGCCGCTGGCAGTCCCTGAAGGCAGAGCGAGGCCGGGCTAGGGCGCGCGGAGGGCGGTGGAAGCTGCCTCCCCGCCGGCCTGGGGGAGGAGAGGAAAAGGAAGGATTTGGGGGAAATGAAGGCGATTTAAAGTCTCGGCCCGCGCGGCAGCTCTCCACCTTCCCTCCTCCCCGCGCCGGGCCGCCCTCTGCTGCCCCTTGCTGCCCCCTGCCGGCCACAGCCGGGGAAACAGCTTCAGCGGGCCGGCGACAGTCCTGCCGGACACCCGCCCTCTGCTCCTGCTGAGGATGGTGAAACGAATTCCCCGAGACAAGGGATTGCCCAAGGGTGCGCAGTAATTGATCACAGTTCTGAGATGAGGCGCTTACCACTCTTGAGACGGGATTTGTGACTGGGGCTCGGGGGTAGAGAGTGCAAGGAAACAGATTCTACTCCTAAAAAAATCCCACAATGCCAAGGACAGAACTGGCACAGGAACTTGGTCTCTAGACTCCCTCGACAAACAGTGTCTGAAAGGCTAAGCAAGCCCCACTGAAAAGAGTGAGCTCCGAAACTCCCTAGAGAACGAAGTGGGTTGGTGTGTGAAGTGCTGGTCGCCCCTCCTCTCCCTTCTCCCTTAGGTCGGAAATAGGATTTAGCTCTCCACCCACGCCAGAGCCCACCAAAGATCCCGGGTTTGCACTCTGGAGCGCAGAACCACACATTTGACCCGCTGCAAACACTGGGCACGTACACACCTCATACACACACACACACACACACACACACACACACACACAACCCTCGCAGCCCCAAGACTAACTCCCTTCATCTCCACCTAAGCGCCTCATGCACGGCAAACAGATTCACACTCATTCACTTGTGCACACACACAATCGCCCACACCCACGCTTCCTCCATATTCAGACACACTCACATGTAGGTACAGCGACGTGCTTCTGGCTCGAAGAGAGGATTCTGCGCACACTCAGATAAATGCATGCACGCCAGCGCTTACACATGCACAAAAACACACTATCCTGGCCAGATCTCTCGAAACACACTTTGCACATATGCTTACATGCTCACACACTCCCACCATATACTCCAGGCGCACCACATACCCTCACACACAGCTCTCCACGAGTGTCCACCGCACATACACGTTCTCTCGTTCTCTCCCCCCCCCCCACCCCGCCGCTTCCCGTGTCTTTTTTACCCCAGGCTTATACCCACCGCTGCTTACGCGCACATCTTTACGCACACTGTAGTACTCAGAGCTCCAGGAGTCCCCGGAAACTTACTGGGTCCCTAAATGCGAGGCTGGCCGGTCAGTCCTTCCAGGGGCGCCTAACGGCATTTGTATTCATGGATCCCCGCAGCCCAGGCTCGGGCGCGGGGGCGGGGGTATGTGGTCCCCTTCGCTAAATGGGGCCCGGGCGCGCGAAGCGCAGCGGCACCGGGAGGGGCATGAGCGCGCGGGACTGCGCTGCCAACCCGGTTCGCCTACGCTCGAACTTCGGCCGCTCTGAGTTCTTGGGCTCCGCCGTGAGCTCCGGATGCTGGGGGCGGCTCATAGGTGCGGGGGACGCGGCGCCCGCCGGGCCTTTTGAAGTCTCCGCTGGGGGCGGGGAGGGGGCGCTGAAGGCAGCCTTTTAAACCGTGGCTGCACGCGGGCTCTGTGGAGCAAGGTGTCTGGTTTCAGCAAACTTTCGGAAAAGTCCCAAGCCAGAGAGGGGGAGGGAGGCTCATGGCTTTGCGCTGCTTCCTGCAGGGGGCAGAGAACCCGTGGCTGCCAGGAGGGAGGCTTGGCGTGGTGCTGAGACCCGCAGGCGGCTGGATGGCGCACACAGTCACCGCCGCCACTACCCTCAGCCCTGCATCTCCACCTCGGACCAGAGTTCCCAACCTCAGCGTAGAAGGCGTTCGGAGCAGTGGGGGAGCACCCCAAAACTGTAACTTGCTTGAGTTTGATGCTGTTCTTCTGGGTCGAGGACCACCAGTTTTTCTGGGCTTTTGATAAGTTCATGGCCCCTGAAAGTTGAGAATTCCTGTCCAGTCATAACTGATGTTTTTTGAGCCGCGTTATTTCTCTGTGCCAGGCACATCCTGTCTTTATTTTTATGTTTATTATTCTGTTCATGCTGGATTTTTTTGCATTAGTTTTTATGCTTTTAAAGTAGTGCATTAAAATATTATAAATATATTGATCACTGAGGGGCTTGTTTGGAACCCTCTTAGTTACTTCATTACTGAATGTTTTCAGCATCTCCTAGTATTCAGCATCTTCACTTGCCTCACCCTAGCGTAGGTCCTAAAGAGCAGTATGCTAAGTGCTACCTACAGAAGGAGACCTGTCATTATTTTTGTTTACTGAGGTGAAGGTTGAGAGAAGCTGGTATTGGTGCAGAGATTTGAACTTAGGTAACCCGACTCTGGTTTCGCCTTGCCGTCATGATGACCCAAATCCTAGCCAGTAATGGGTTCTGAGGAGATCATTGTTAGCACCTCCAGGCTGTCATCCCACCCCTGAGCTCCCTGATGTCTGCCCCAGCCTCCAACAGCTGGGCTTCTTGGAGGCCTGGGTCCATATCACTGTTTGCCCCAGACCCTCCCTCTGTTCCATCTCTACCTGTCCACAAGCTCTGTTCACAACCTGTTTGCCTCCTGGGTGCAACCCACGCTCACTTGACTGACTGGCTGCTCTGTGCCGGATTTGTCATGGTGCAGTCATTTTCAGCTCTGTCTCTGTCCTTGTACCTAGCATGGAACCTGGGACACAGTAGATGTTCCAACCACTGGTAATTTAAATAAGATTATCTTTTTTAAAAAGTTTCTCCAATACAAGATTCTGTGAGGCTCAGGAAAGAGAGGGTTTCACCAAGGGACAGGGACAAATAAATTTGCATTGGTTCTGCCTTCTGGGAGACTTAAAGATTTGTAGTGTGGATAGAAGATGCACACAGCAACTGGATGGGTGATGTCAGACACAGTCATATATGAAGATCCCCCTGGAATGGCAGAGAAACAGTTCAAGGAAAATGTGATAGGTAAGAGATAAGGATTGATTGAGTTATAAAGCAAAGGGATGAGAGATAGTGAGGAAAGCTCACAGGAAGAAGTGGCATCTGGATCCTGATGGGTGTGTTGGATAAAACTGTGCCGTGCAGTAGGAACATCTACAGTGCAAAGGTCACAAAATCACAGGAGGATGCAGGCGGCTTTCAGGCAAGTTTTGAAAGAAGACAAAGGAGAACCCAGTGGGAAAACTCATTTCTACACACCATGATGTGTGGATAACACCCCATGATCACTGACCCCAAAGCCATTTCCAAGTAAGGAGATGGATTTCTTCCAAGGCCAGACAGCAGGTCAGTAGCTGAAGATCAATGGCTTCCCAAATCTCCCCACCAAATCCGAGGGTGCGATGACTGGCACCAGAGATTGCTGTTCAGAAGGGTCAGCCCAGAGGACCTTGGGAAACTGTGGGAGCCCAGAAAAATCGAGGACCCTCCTTCCTGGAGCCTCACTCCCTCCCTGTCCAAGAGATGCACCAGATGTGGTCACTCACTAGGGTCTTTGGTGCTTGGGGTTTGGGTCTTTTATTCTACAGTACAAACAACTGTGTTCATTGAGGACTCAGGGGCATTTTACTAGATGGGGAGAGTCACCAGGCTCATGGTCTCCCAGGAGCTCGCAGTCGGCTGCACAGAGGAGGTCCGGATACTCGTTCCGGGAAAGATCTTTGTTCCCTGCTTCCGCCTCTTCACGCTCAGCCTTTTCCCATAGAGGTTCCTGGCACAGGCCTGTGACCAGGCATGGACAGTTCTGATGGAAACTGGGCCCTGAAGAACACTGAGCCATTGTCCACTTGCAAAGGACACGGGGCATTCACCAGGCAGCTCTCAGGTGGCCATCTTGGTGGGGCAAGAAGCAATAAGCCTGGCAGCTGCGTGGGTACTGCTCTCAGGCCTCTATAGACATGTCGGGAATGAGGCCAAAGGCGGGAGTTCCTGGCAGTTTGCTGTCTGCCTAAGCAGAACAGCTGCAAAATGGCTGCTCTCTGGACCCGTGGTAGCCTTGAGAGAAGCTGTCAATATCAAGAGCATTATTGGTGGGTACCTAGCAAGTACTCGGTCCATGTTTATTTGGGAGCCACTAGGTGAAATCACCCCACAGAACAGAGATTGCACACTGCCCAGTTGGCTGTCCATCACTTTATGCTGCTTCTGCGGACCTGCTATGTGCCAAGCTATGTTTTCTATTTTTGAAGGGCTGTGGTTTGAGCAAGGAGGCCAAAGGGGATAGAAAAGAAGTCCTGCCTCAAATCGTGCTTATTTAACTGGCTCTGCAGCACTAGGAGAGCCAGGGTCCCTCCAGTTTCCCTTTCCAGGGTGCGCCGGCAGCTAACTATGCTTTCATAGTTGGTTCCCTTCCAGCAGGTGGCATGGGATGGGCACTCATGTCTAATTGCACAGTGCCATTTCTAAGTCACTTGACCAGTGTGAAGATGCTGCAGTGTACCAGGTCCTGCACTGGGCGCTGGCCACAGGCAAATGTGAGCTGGCCTGGGGAGGTGGCTGAAGCCAGCACTGGCTGGTACCATGGCTTAGAAGTCTCCTAGGGCTTGGCCTCTGGCCTGGCTGCTGTCAAGACTCCAAGACCATCATTCTCACACCAGAATGAAGACTGAAGCCCAGGCAGATCCCAGCATTATCCAGAAGGCTGCATTCTCTGGAGACATGGTCCCACTACCAGGACACTGCAGACCATGTTCCCTGGGCCCTCTCCCTGTCCCCTGTCTGGGTTTGTTTCCCCAGGGCTGGAAGGTGGCAGATAGCTATGAGACAGCCAAGCTCATCTTTTCATGGCTGCTACTGACCCAACTGTGAGACCTCCAGGAGAAATTCAGACTTGGGAGAACCTACAGATCTTCCAGGTCCAACTTTAGTTACCCTGTGTCACAGGTGAGAGGTCTCACAAAGACCCCACTCACCTTCATTTCTAACTATAGAAAGTCAAATGTGTCCTCATCCTTGAAGAATTGAACCCATTTTCCAGATCTTAGACTAGGCCAAGTTTAAAGATATCTAGATTCTCGGACCTGTGTCTGCAGGCCATTAGTATTGAATTCTGGGCTTGCCCCAGTGGCTGAGAGTGGAAACAAAGCAATCGATGAACTAGGGGACTTTTCAGG